TTGTGTTTCCTTAAATGCCATGTCTCTTTATATACACGTTCTTAGCCCCAGGGTGAAATGGACCTATAGTATATAAACGACTGCAAGCAGTAGACCAAAAGGCGGCATGATGGTGAACAACAGCAACATGTATAACACTAGAGAGGATGGACATGTGTGCTGCTGAACAATAATGCCTTTTAATTCCTTATTGTTGAAAAAAAAAAAAGCAACAATTTGATTTGGTGCTAAATGCCACTTGAAGCCCAATTCCAGCAATACTGTCTGCCTCCCTACTGGGGAGATTTCAAGATAATTCCTATACTAGGTGGATCCTAGAGATAAAAAGGAAACCAGGGGAATTCCTATTCAAAGGGACATGGACAACAATCAACATGAACCCGAGCTTCTTAGCCTTCTCCCACTTTGGCCTGTATTCACACCTGTGCAGAACATAAACCCCTGGTGCCCAACCTGTGGCCCTTTGGTATGTGATGTGTGGCCCTCGGACCTCAGCAGTTTGCAGTGGGAACATTGATAAGGGTAACAGCATTGATCTGTACTAGCCTCATGTAATATGTTCTCAGATTCATATTGACTTCTGCAGCATATCCCCAGCCAAGGCAGCATGTCCACACTCTGACCCTCAACTCCTCTAGTCGGTTTGCAGTTTCTGACTGTCCTCTCCAGCATTACATACAGTACATTGAACATTATGTGTGGCCCTTTGGTGATGTTAGGGGCCACATTTTTGGCCCCCTTTAGCTCATAAGTTAACAGCCACTGGCATAAACAGAGAGGGTATTCCTAGTGATTTTGAAGCTTTTTTTGGGTGTTGTCAAGCTTTGTACAAATGTTTCTGCACATGAATCGAGCTTCAAGCCTTTTCTTCCTGGACTGTGCAAGGGGAGGAAAGCATTTCTGTAAAAAGAGAGAAATTAATTTTTCCAGAGCAAAAAAGATAACTAAAAATGCATGTGTCGTACATTTACACATGCATGCCCACTGAAGTCTACAGGGGAAAAATGTCTAAATACAATAAATAGAAACCTCCAAGTACATTTTTGATTATAGGGAGTAGAGCGTAGGGTGACTTTACGTACGTGTGTGAACAGGGACTATTAGAAAGAATGGGATTGTACATGTTGAGCATAGCCAAGTTCAGGGAAACAAGCTAACAATTGCTCAAGTATGAATATGGGCTTCCAAAAAATGTAGAAAAAATTTTGGTTGGAGCTAGACATTAAAGTATATCTAAACCCCAAAAAAAACTAAAATCTAAAAATATTGCATTACTTTCCAGTTTTGTGGGCTTTTTTATCTCTATTTTCACCTGGTGCTCCTTCCAGTGATACACCTCCTGTTCTAGGGTGACAACACTAGGGTTACTCACTGTACTGTCTCTATGGAAATACAACATTGTCACCCTAGGCTGGGAGGGATTATGTAGATCAGAGCTTAAAATTTCAAGTCCTGAGCTACTAGCCAGGCCTTAAGAGTTACTCACCACCAACAAACACACACAAACAGAGACACCTGTACACACACATACAGACACATGTATACACACACAGGCACATACAGACACGCATACACACAGATACATGTACATACACAGAAATACACAGACACATGTACACACAGACACATGTACACACACACAGACACATGTACACACACATGTACAGATACACACATGTACATACACACAAACACGCTTTTAAGTGCTCTCTCCCTCTTCCCTGAAGCTTTTAAGTGCTCTCTTTCCTCTCCCCTGAAGCCACCACTGGCTGATATAGAGGATCATGTGACCAGAGTGAGCTGAAATTAGGTAGGCGCGCTCACACACAGCCCTATAAAAAGCTGCAGTACTTCGTTGTTCTCTCACAGAGTCGGGTACTGCACTCTAGGGGAGGCAGAGAGCACAGCACACACTCCTTCCTTTGCTTTCACTGCGCTCAGCTATTGAGCAGTCTGACGGCTCCCAGTGCCAATGACAGATCCGGCCTGAGCTCCGAGTCTGCTCAGTAAGACGGCCCTGGGGGACACACACCCCCACCATAATTTCCACTCGCCATTGGCGAGCAGGCGAGTGGAAATTTCAAGGCCTGATGTAGATTACAGAAGAAGCCTTAGAAAACAGATATCGTTGTTTGAAATTTCAGTTTAAATAATAAAAGAATACTATATTTCTTTCAGAATCAACAGTTATTTTTCTGTTCATGTAGAAAAAGTACTTAGTCTAAGAAAAGAAAACTAATTCAGCCACTGCATCTAAGGGCTGGTAAGCTGCAATATATTGTATTGTTGTCCTTGGGTTTAGATATGCTTTAAGTAGTTACAATCACTGTCAGGAAACTGGCCATCACTACAATTACAACTATACATATCAAATCCTGACATTTACAACAGTGTAAACATTCCTATACCTTTCAGTCTTAGTCTCTGCCCTGTGTTGATCCCAGGACCTAGTGTGACACAATTTGGTACACAGGGTATGAAAATGTCTGTATTTAATTGTTTAGGGATTCTTGTATATTCCTGTACTGATGCAAAGTGGTAAATAGCCATGATTAAATTCTAAATGTCAATATGCAGATGTTCTGAAAGACCAAGAGTCAGTGTGATAATGTTCAGACTTATCTACTGTCAGTATGTTGTTTTTCTGGAATCCAAACTTTAGGTTTGTCATTGCTCTGGGACATCAAGTTTTAGTTTGCCACCATTCTGGGATAGCTACTATCAGTATGCAACCATATTTGTATCCAAAGTGTCAGTGTGCAAATGTCCTCTGATCAGTGTTGGTGATTTGTTTTGGGACTACAAGTGTCAGTATGTCATTGTTGCAAATCCAATAGCGTCAGCATATTAATATTCCATTCTCAAGTGACAGCGTGTGATTTCTACAAGATTCAAATGTCAGTGTGTCACTGTTCTGGTATCCCAAGTGTCAGTAAATCATTGTTCTGGTATCTCAAGTGTCAGTGTGTCATTTTTCCAGGATCCAAGTGTCTGTATGTCATTGTTCCATGATTCAAGTGTCAGTGTGTCATTGTTACTGGATCCAAGCGTCAGTGTGTCGTTGTTCCTAGATCCAAGTGTCAGTGTGTCATTACTCCTGGATCCAAGTGTCAGTGTGTCATTACTCCCCAAGTGGATCCAAGGATCCAACTGTCAGTGTGTCATTGTTCTGGGACTCCTAGTGTCAAGTGTCAGTGTGTGTCATTGTTCTGGACCCCCAAGTGTCAGTGTATCATTGTTCTGGGACCCCCATGTGTCAGTTTGTCATTGTTCCTGGATCCAAGTGTCAGTGTGACATTTTTCCAGGATTCAAGTGTCATTGTTCCTGGATCAAAGTGTCAGTGTGTCATTGTTCCAGGTTCCAAATGTCAGTGTGTCATTGTCCTGGTATCCCAAGTGTCAGTGTGTCATTGTTTCAGGATCCAACTGTCAGTGTGTTATTGTTCTGGGACCCCCATGTGTCAGTGTGTCATTGTTCCTGGATCCAAGTGTCAGTGTGTCATTGTTCCTGGATCCAAGTGTCAGTGTGTCATTGTTCCTGGATCCAAGCGTCAGTGTGTCATTGTTCCAGGTTCCAAATGTCAGTGTGTCATTGTCCTGGTATCTCAAGTGTCAGTGTGTCACTGTTTCAGGATCCAAGCGTCAGTGTGTCATTGTTCCAGGTTCCAAATGTCAGTGTGTCATTGTCCTGGTATCTCAAGTGTCAGTGTGTCATTGTTCCAGGATCCAAGTGTCAGTGTGTCATTGTCCTGTATTTCAAGTGTCAGTGTGTCACTGTTTCAGGATCCAAGTGTCAGTGTGTCATTGTTCCAGGATCCAAGTGTCAGTGTGTCATTGTTCTGATGTCTCAAGTGACAGTGTGTCATTGTTCTGATGTCTCAAGTGACAGTGTGTCATTGTTTCAGGATCCAAGTGTCATGTGTCATTGTTCCAGGATCCAAGTGTCAGTGTGTCATTGTTCCAGGATCCAAGTGTCAGTGTGTCATTGTTCCAGGATCCAAGAGTCAGTGTGTCATTGTTCTGGTATCTCAAGTGTCGTTTGTCATTGTTCCAGGATCCAAGTGTCAGTGTGTCACTGTTACAGGATCCAAGTATCAGTATTTCATTGTTCTGGTATCTAAAGTGTCAGTGTGTCATTGTTTCAGAATCCAAGTGGCAGTGTGTCATTGTTCCAGGATCCAAGTGTCAGTGTATCATTGTTCCAGGATCCAAGTGTCAGTGTATCATTGTTCCAGGATCCAAGTGGCAGTGTGTCATTGTTCTGGTGTCTCAAGTGACAGTGTGTCATTGTTTCAAGATCCAAGTGTCAGTATATTATTGTTCAGGTGTCTCAATTATCAGTGTGGTATTGTTCCAGGATCCAAGTGTCATTGTGTCACTGTTCTGGAACTCCTAGTGTCAGCATGTCACTGTTAAGCCACTACCATATGGTAGTGTAATTATCCCATAAATCAGTGTGACATTTTTGTGAGACCCCCAAGTATTGCTGTATCATTGTTCTGGGACCCCAGGATTCGATGTGTCATTGTTGTGAGATCCCAAATGTTAATGAGATTTAAATTGTCACTATGAGGATGTTTAGAAATCTCAAGCATCAGAGTGTTATTGTTGTGACATCCAGAGTGTCACTGTGTCAATGTTCAAGGATCCTAAGTGATAGTTGGTCTTTGTTCTGGATCAGAGTGTTGGTGAGCTATTGTTCTAGGATCTAAAAAATTAGGAATTTTTAAAAAAATAATAGAAGAGATCAGAACTCATAGGTTTTGCAATTCAGATCCCTGAAACACAGCAGTTTTCTAAGAACCCAGAAATGAATTAAAATTAAAAAAAAAATATATATATATATATATTTATGTATAGATTGATTTTAATACCCAATATCCTTCTTTTCTTGTGCTCATGCCACAGGCTTTGTACAGCACTGCATTACATCACCTGACTACCAAGCTGAGAAGAAGAGTGGAGACAAGTTTTCCTCCTCCGAGGCTGAATACACACCAAACCACGATGACTACAGTGAGCCTGACAGCCCCCAGTCCAGTCTGTCTGCAGGTTATTTCAGCGGAGAAGCAGCCGTCACGGACAGCTACTCAATAGACGCTTTCTTCATCACAGATGGACGCTCGAGAAGAGGTGTCGAGAGTCGCGGAAACCAGCGTCACACATGCAGTGAGTGTGGTAAAACCTATGCCACCTCTTCCAACCTCAGCCGGCACAAGCAAACCCATCGGAGCCTGGACAGTAAAATGGCAAGGAAATGTCCTACATGTGGAAAAACATACGTTTCTATGCCAGCCCTGGCCATGCATCTTCTCACACACAATCTGAAACATAAGTGCGATGTGTGCGGCAAGGCCTTCAGCCGCCCATGGCTCCTACAAGGCCACATGCGCTCCCACACTGGCGAGAAACCTTTTGGCTGTGCCCACTGTGGGAAAGCCTTCGCAGACCGATCCAACCTTCGCGCGCACATGCAGACACACTCGGCCTTTAAACACTATAAGTGCAAACGCTGCGAGAAGACCTTCGCTCTCAAGTCATATCTTAACAAACATTACGAGTCAGCTTGTTTCAAGGGCTCGGATCATGAGTGCGCCCTACAGAGTTAAACTCCAGGCTTGAGGAAAAAGACGGTACACAAAGAAAGGAGGCACAATAAATTGTGCCAACCTACTCTAATTGATGGCACAACACACCAGAAACTCAAAAATCAGGGTACTTGGCATCAAACAGTATTATCCTTGGTTGCACTTCACCATAGACTGTGCAAACATCATTTTTATATAAACACTGCATTTTCTTTTTTTTTTTCTTTTTTGAAGCTTGACAAATTTATTTTAAACCGTGCAATATACTTTTTTTCAATGGATCATGGATGGTTGTGACCTATCTTTTCTTTAAACACACATACACACAAAGAAAAGAAACTTTTAGCCTCTCTACTGACGCTCTTAAAGAACCCTTACATGCAAAGCCAAGCTTTCTGTGGTGCAACACATGAAATGTGAAAGTCTTACATTAATATGAGAAAACAATTGGAGACAAAATTAGCGGAGGGGCTCTGTAACACAGACTCAGGTGCCATTTTCTATCCTATGTTATTTATTTTTTAAACTGTTGTTATATGACTCTGTTGCTAAAGAAGAATTGATTGCATTATTTATTTTATCTTTATTATTTGTGCCATGTGGTATTCAAGGCTTGGAATAATGTGGACAAGGAGAAAAGCCTTTTTTTTTTTTGTTTTGTTTGCAGCACAATAAATTTCATGCGAGCCAGGAACAATGTACATGAATGTCGAGAAAGGATCTGCAAGTGGCCTCGTGCCAATTCGGCTGTAATAAATACAGAAGAGTTTGCTGTGTCTTGTTTGGAAGCACATATGTACACTATAAACAGGGCAGAAAAGTTGTGCCAATACTTGTTTTAAACTAGAAGAAGAGCTTGTGGCACTCCAGTAGAATTAGATTGTTCAATTTTTGTTCCAAAACAGCGTTACCTCTAGAATTTTGAAAGGCAATGAGAATATGCACTATTCCTCCAGTATTTATTATGTATTCTGTCAGAGGTCTGTTCACGAAGCAACGTGACCTGCATTATATACTAAGAAGATAATTTTTTTTAAAAAATGTGACCCCCACCTTCATGGAGTCAAGACATTTGCGCCTATTTGTTTTTTTTTTGTTTTTTTTGTAATCTACTTATTTAATAATATCATGTAATTTATATGATTTATTTATTATATTTATTACACTTTTTATTGCTAATTTAACTTTTTTTTGAGGATGGAAAAGAACGTACAGATCGTGGTTAATAGGAATACGCTGCAGCAGATGCCAGGATGAGCCTTGTCTGTTGCGGTAAATTGTCTTCCTCCTGAGTGCGACAGACTTTAAAAGCAAAAAGACTTTTTTTCAGGCCTATGTTTCCGAACACGATTCAAGAATAATCGGAAAAGCCTATGCAATTTCTCAATGAGTTCTTACCTCATGGCAAAACAGAGGAAGCGCTATAGCCCGCCATCAGCCTCTCCTGCACTTGTCGATGTGAGGGACAGCTATTCGTTTGTGAGCAACATTGACTCACAAGCCATGCACGCCCAGCGTTTGGGTATCTGCACATGCCAAGGCTTCAGACTTGCAGGCAAGAACAAATTCAGAACCTCACATGATGATGCAACAGCATTTCATTCATTGATCACGTGAATGATGGCACTGAGATCCTCAGTGCAAGAGTATTATTTTTCTTGCAACTTCTTTGTATACTGACAGCACTTGCAGCAGTGTTTTGGGTAGTCCAATGTTATTTACATTGCATTATTATTACATGCTACAAGTCTCGCCATGCTTTTTTAGGTGACTGAAAAGTCATACCGATCTTTAAGGTGCAAGGGCTGCTTTAATGCAACTATTACCTAATATATTTGGAAAATGCTCAGTATTACTGCATGCCTGAATGAAGCAAGCCTTGCGTTTATAGATCGTAGAATCCTTCTTTGCATCAGTGTTAGAAAATTGCAACAGAGAATGTATTAGTAAAATTAGTTTCCAAAATGGTGAAATTAGAAGTCGAATGAAGACAAGCCGTGATAGTGTTACAAAGACATGATGTCTAATGCAACAAAGATACATTCTATAAATGACAACACCTAAAGGAAAGATCATATGTGTGTGTGTGGGGGGGGGGGGAGGGGGGGTCCCATTGCATAATCTTTGTGGTGCCTCCTTAATCATTAACCTCCAACCTAAAAGCCATGTCACTTCTAAGGGCTATGCCATTCCAAAAGCAGCATTTGAATTGATTATATAGCAGTCTGACAGAGGTTCTCGTTCATGTTATTTCTACTTATTTTCCAGATGCTGGCTAGATAAACTACTAGAATATAAACTACTATATATTTAGACAGTAAAGCTGTCCATACGCTAGTAGATTATCAAACAACAGTACATTTGATGACTTAATGAATATTATTTGAAAGCACTTCAAACTTTTGTTTGCTTTTAACATTCAATTGCAGAACGAATGGACTTTCCTGAATGAAAACTACATACACTGTTAGAAATTTGTCAGTTCAAGAAAAATTTTCCATCCTGCTCCTTCAAATTTTCTCATTACTACAGATGAAAACGAACGGTGGTTTGACCCCACTAACGATTAGAACAGTGTTTGTCAAGCAGGGTGCTGCCTGGGTTTCCTTGTGGTGCCGTGAACATGGGACCCAGATTGTCCTGCTCAGGGGCGGACTGACATATTTGGAAACTCGGGCACTGCCTGAGGGCCCAGGGTCAGTAGGGGGGCCCCATGAGATGCCCCTGGTACCTTTTTCATAGGCTTTTTTGAGCTTGGGCAAGGACACAAGGGCCCCATGATCCCCTTTTGCCCGGGGGCCCCTTGAGTTGTCAGTCCGCCCCTGGTCCTGGATCAGGGCTGGACCGCCTGCACCATAACAACAATGATGCTCTAGGGCCAGGGCACAGTGTCATTTATTTGCTATGGTGATGACGGACAGCTTTATATGAAGAAACAAAAAGAGGGCACACCGGCCTAGTGCATTACCTTTAAAAACAAGATTTATTGATAAAGAGTAAAATACTCACAAAGGAATAAAATCAAATGAAGGGCATGTCACAAGAAATGCAGCGTGGTCCAATCACCCTGAAGGATGTCTGGTGGGGGACTGTAGACCTCTAGGTGGCTGTTGGCTGATGTGTCTCAAGGCTGTGCCTCTTCCTCAGAAGTCTACAGTCCCCCACCAGACATCCTTCAGGGTGATTGGACCACGCTGCATTTCTTGTGACATGCTCTTCATTTGCTTTTATTCCTTTGTGAGTATTTTACTTTTTTATCCATAAATCTTGTTTTTAAAGGTAATGCTCCAGGCCCGTGCGCCCTCTTTTTGTTTCTTCATATACAGTTCTTTTTGGATTTCCCTGGTCCGCTTGCATTCCTTCTATACTCCATGTGGGGATTGTAGAATCCACTGTCCAGCTCAGGAGTTCAGGCATTCGGTTGCTTTTTTTTCTTCCTATCAGACACGGCGGACAGCTTGCCTGCACGATGGCGATGCATGACTTTGATCCTAACAGGCAAGATCAAACTAACATTCTTAAAATTGAATGATATTCTACTAGCATATAGCCAGCCTAATAGGCCCTCTGTCCCTGACTATCTGGCAATACAATCCAAGCAATACTGGCACTTATGTAACATTCACGTTTTGTATACAGGATTCTTTTTGTACTAAACTAGGCCTACAACCTACAGATAGGGAGTGTAGCAATATTTTATCCAAGTTGTAAATTCACTAAGAGCTTCCTCACTGAGATAGGCAGTACACACAGTTTTGTGCTATGGTGAAATCTAGAGTTGTTCAAGAACTAATATACTAGAGATATAAGGAAAGCAAAACATAATAATGTATAATTTAGAAGCTATTCAGTCTCTAGCAAATTAAAGTGGAACTTTACCCGTAACTTGATAAAAAAAATAACGTTCTTTAGCAAGGATCGTACATTCCACATTAATAATTATGCAACCAAAATTAGTGTGTGCAGTAAATTGCCTTCAGCATTGTTCCTGTTTCATCTTGCCAGAAACTGCCATTGTGCTAAAGTCCAGAACCCCTGAGCAGCAGTAAATCTTTAGGCTGTCAGTAGATCGGCCTCCAGTGGCTCTAATTTTGGGCACAATGCCAAACAATAGAAAGCAAATGACCATGTGCAGAGCAGGGTGAGACAGTGTAGTACTGGGTTTCAAACAATATGGGCACTTATTTGTAAGATTTTACATAGCAATATCTGCAAAAGGAGCCAGCCTGAAATGATTTATTAGAACTTAATTTTCCACTTTAAATTCCACTTTAAATAGTCCAGTTTGGGTGGATACTGGTAGACTGCATCACCCATTGGTTATAATACTCAGAGACTCTGATCATGGTATATTTCTCTAGTAGTTTGCACCTTCGCCCTTACCCCAAAGCCATAATGAAGGTATCATGTTTGGATAATCTTCTGAGTTTTTTGTTAATTCAATATTATGGAGAAGCGATCTGGTGAACATTATGTAGCGTTTTGGACAAAACTGGAGGTGTTGGTGGGGGATATCTTGTAACTGGAGAGTCTGTTAGAACATAAGAATCTAACATGGAGCTCTTTCATTGACAAAAAAAGGCCACTAACATTTGGAAGTTTTAGGCATGTTGGCTACTTAAGGATTTGACCAACCTTTATCTAATATACAGTGCCTTGAAAAAGTATTCATACCCCTTGAAATTTTCCATATTTTGTCATGTTACAACCAATAACGTAAATGTATTTTATTTGGGATTTGATGTGATAGACCAACACAAAGTGGCACATAAATGTGAAGTGGAAGGAAAATGACAAATGGTTTTCAAAATTGTTTACAAATAAATATCTGAAAAGTGTGGCTTACATTTGTATTCAGCTCCCTTTACTCTGATCCCCTAATTAAAATCTAGTGGAACCAATTGCCTTCAAAAGTCCCCTAATAAATAAATAGAGTCCCCTGTGTGTAATGTAATCAAAGTATAAATCCAGCTGTTCTGTGAAGCCCTCAGAGGTTTGTTAGAGAACATTAGTGAACAAAC